GCCCCCAATCTGTTTAGGATTGTTAAAATTCCTGGGTATTGTAGTGCCTTCCCCAGAGACGGCCGGGAAGGGCTGAGGACAGCCTGGGCCAGATGGGATGCCAGTGACTCCAGCCAGCAAAGGCAGAAAAGAGGACAGCGCTTAACTCCTGCTCTGCCGGCCACCGCAGAAGATGTCTGTAAGGGAAACGAATGCAGTCCGCCTTCCTGACAGCACTGTAACATGCACTTTGTAGTTCAATGCTCCTGGGAGCAAGCCGCTGCAGCCCCTGGGGACACACAGAGCAAGGAGCAGTGATCGCAACCTGCTGAAAAACCGTTCTGTGCTGCAGGTGGAAATTTCGGTTGCTTGTAAATTCCCATGGAGATGTGAAGGAGGGAGCTCTCCCCAGGACCCAAGAGGGAAGTGAAATGGTCTACGTGAAACCAGCACCCACACGGTGAAAGGCCTCCTGGCCAGACCAAAGGTGTTTGTAAAAAGCTTGTGGAGTAGCACAGGATCAGAGATTCTCCCTCCAGAAAAGTGAAATTTGGCAGGCCTGTGCTTGATTTAAGAGCAAGAGCCTGGCTGCTCAACATGCCCTGCTCCTCTCCAACTTGTCATTAAGAGGAATTAAACCGGCACTTGAGAACCTCTGCCATAGAAAACACTTGGATGTTCCTTGTTCACAAGGGTGGATTAGTCCTATTTATAAGAGTTTAATCCTTTGGCGTGTAAAACAAGCAAGACTGTAGCTAAAAACAAAATATAGGATTACCCCATTAAAATGGCGCGCTGATTACGGACAATGCCACCTCTTTCCTTTCTGTGACTTTGGCAATGGAAATCTTCAGCAGCTTCCAACTGAACGGAAACCCTCACATTGTTATTCCTTACCTGCCCCAACTGATTCGCTGCTTTGATGGGAATTTTGTAGGTGCTTTCTGAGGCACATTTAACAAGACTTAACCTAAAATCCTGAAAGCCTGGGGGTATGGTAAAAGGAAAAGGAAATGAAAATAGCAGCTCAGGACCTTCAATATGTTTTCCTCTTTAATTCATAAAGAGGCTGTTAGTGTAATACCGAATCCTGGCTGGGGACTTGAAGATTCCTCTGTTGCACTGAATTTACTCTTATGGAGGAATGAATTCTGACACAAAAATAGGGAATTTTCCCATTAAATTGTATATAGTACCCTCAGAAGCAATCTCTTACATCCTGGAAAATCAGAGCTTTGCATAGGAAATCTCCCCTATATCACCTGCATTATTGGTCTCTGGATTCCTCTAACTGCCTACTACTACTCTTAAAAATGTTGAATAAGAATATAGTGATGGATAATCATATTTCCGTATTTTTTAGATGGCTGCTTTCCAGAAGACCCTTCAAGGCTATCTTTTGTTTCAATAGTATCAGAAAAAAAGCTCATTTTCAAGTGTAAAGGCAGCAGCATCTTATTCCCTGGCAAGGGACAGCTAAGCAAAAAACTTCAGCTACAATTTCCGTATTTACAGCAATCACCACTATCTAATCCTCTGGAGAACGTCTTAACAGAGACATACCAAAGAAGTTATGGATCCAAAATACAGCAGGCCACTGGCTTTTCATCCTACAAAGCCAATATGCGATGCTGGGACAACCCCCTAGCTTCCGAACCAACCTATTCCTTTATTTCCTGCTGCAGGAAAATTCCAAGTCTGCTTTTCACTTCAGAGCAATTCCCTGTCTCTCCTGCTTATTAAAGCCACTGAATAGGAACAGACCAGAGCTTTTCTTATCAGACAGGCCTTTCAATGTTTGTGCATTGCCAGAGCTTAACAAAACCTGGAAGAAATATCAGCAGCTGCCCCACGACTGTACCCTCGGTGGAGCTCTTTAAGCTCCAGACTTTTGCTTAGGCTTGTCTTTCACAGTTTCAAAGGAAAGTGTGATTCTGGAGCCAAAGCTGCCTAAGAAGATATTTTTTGAGCAGTAATACTAACCATCATCATGTTAACTTCTCAAGGACCTATTAGCTCTGGTATCTGTCAAGGAGTGATTCCGACAATCCCTCCACTCGGCAGGGGATTTTTATGGAAATTTGTGCCCCCCTTCCATAGCCAGCAGGACAAGTTCAAAGCTAGAGTCTTCTGCCAAGAGGAATGGATTGTAACTTGCAGCCGTGGAAAATGCAAAATATATCAGGATGCTATAATCATGCCAACAGATCAGATGCAGAACATGTTCAAAAACATCAGACAGCCATAGCTACTTCCAGACGGTGCTATGAACACAGGTTGTAAGCCCTGATTAGTTAAAAAGATATTTTGCAGACAGATATGTAGCTGTAAGCTAAAGACTAATTTTGACTTAGTGGTTCATAGAATATATGTGTGTGTGCACATGTGTAAAAGACAGAAGGGGGGAATGTTACTTGCCTCGTAACGGAAAGATTAGATTTCTATTTCCCCATGAATTTTTAATGTGCTTACAGAGTATCACAAAACAGAGCTCCCCGAGCAGGGCTGGGGGCACAGGGAAGTTGTCTGGGTGGGCAACTGCCTGGGCTACAGCCAGGCCCTGATCCAGCCGGGCTGTGGACAGGAACACAGCTGTCACTGCTCTGCAGTGCATGGTACTGATGGTGGAGGCTAGATCCTCATCAGAAATGCCCACGGTCAGTTTTTGCACCCACCTGCCAAGTAGAAAGGTGCTATCGGTTACCGGAGGCGTGCCGGGCAGGCTGTCCCTCCTACAGGCTCTGAGCATCGCTCCGAGCATCCCTTAGCAGAGCATCCTGTGAAAGAGCAGCTGAATGCTACAGGCAGGGTGTGCTGGGGGACAGCTGTGAGGGGCTGCAGGATGCTCCTCTGGCTCGTGGGATCACAGAACACAGAAACCAGGACTGCAGTTGCTGGAAATACACTCCTGAAGTGTCTTTGAGAGCTTCAGACTATCTCCCTGATAGCCTGACTTCTTGCTCTGGTTTCATCTGAGTTCCTTTGTTTTCAGCGTTACCAATCTGTTAGCAGAGCTGCTACAGAACAGACTGTAAGGCAGGCCTCTGATGGCAAAGGTGGCCACCACTTGCACGTGTGAGAGGTGTTGATGGCCAGCAGGGTTGGGACAAGAGCAAGATCTCTTGAACAGCCCTCCTGAAGTCACTGATTCAGCTCTGAGGCACAGCAGGGCCTGCTCATTATGGACTACTTTATTTTTATTTTTTTTTAATTGAGAAGTCTGTCATATCAATTTTATGTCAAATCAAGGGTTTGATATATCCCTCTTGTGACTCCACTGAGTTCAGTCAAGCTCTATGAGTCATGAATTTAGCTCTTACTTTCTCAGTAGAGAACATGTAGTTTTTCTTTGAGACTGGTTCAGTGAACCTCTAAATCTACCAATGTACATCCAGCAAAGCATGTAAGCACACACACGTGGGAAGTACGTGCAAAATCACGGAAGAAGGAATTGGACTACTTCTACAGTAAAACCACCTTGTCATCCTCTTTCACCTGACATCCCTGTTCATATCATGCAGCAGAAGACGGAGTGCTCCTTCAAGCATTTGGCTAAAACTATGGACAGTTTTCAGATGCCCAGTACCTGCCCTGGAAGCTGAACTGTGCCCTGGGGAACAGCTTGTCTTGAGGGCAGTGGGGAGGGTCTGGAGGGTGAGACAGCGAGCCCAGCCCTGCTCACTGCCACTCAGGAGTCCCTCCAAACCTCAGCATCAACATGCCACAGTCCCTGCATTAATGGCTGATACCCTTTCTTTTGTGCCCTCTTTTCATTGCACATTTTTTTGATGCACCTCATCCAACCTACACTTCCCTCTTCCGTGCCCGGTCTAGGAACTTACTAAATTTGCAGCACCTTTTTCTCATGCTTCTCCTTCATTAGGAGAACGGTTTGCTTCAGGCTGGGTGCTTATATTTTCACTAGTTCATACGGTTTCATTAGCTCCGAATGGACATTAGCTGATATCTGTTACATGGACATCTTTTAGTCCTGCTTTTCCTAGCATTCCAGCAAACATCTTGCAAGATCCCTCACCAGCTCCATGGTGCCAAATCCCCAATCACACAGTGTCTGTATCAAGGCTCCCACATGCTGTCTCTTTGGTAAAAGCCCAGTTGCTCAGCAAATACTTTTTGCAACTAAATTTTAGGAAAGCACTGATAAACAACATATTATTTTTTCTTATCATCTTCTACAGTGAGAGTAAGCACACTGTAAACGTTTCTCTCCATTGTATCTGTTGATGAGAAAAATCTACATTTTCTTAGGGGTAGGTTATGTAAAATCTGTGGAAACCTCCTCCTCCTTCTCCCTCACCTGCCCCTCTTCTTAGCAAGCTCCTAGTCTTGGGAAGGCTTAAATAATACAGCTCCAAGTCCAGGGGGACCATGGTAAAGGGTTACTGCAAATCACGCTCTTCCAACACTGAATTTCTTTTAAAATAAGTAAGAGGCCTAGCCTCCCTGGCATCCTCTGCCTTTGAGCCCTGCAAAGTGCCTGCCCAGAAGTGGGTACAGCTTTCTGGGGCTTGCCCTTCCCAGCAGACCTGAAGAAGCAGAGCAGACATCCTCACAGGGATGAGCCCAGGGCTCCCATACTGGTATCTCAGGCCAAGAAGAAAGAAGCAGCACATAAGTCCTGGCCATACCCTGCTGTCGCTCAGCAGGAGCAGGCCTTCTCACGCCCACAGCTTTGCTGCAACTGCTTCGCAGCCCCAACCGCAGAAGGAAGTGTTTGCACCAGTTGCAGGCAGTTTTCCAAGCACCTTTTCCCTGCTTGCTCCCCCAGCCACAAAACAGCCCAAGCACTTTTGGAGTTTCTTCCTTACAAAGCCCCTGCCAGAAATCTCCACAGCTCCATGCTGTAGATTCCCGACAGTCTTCAAAGGATTGCTAATTCCTGCGTGCACAAAAAATGCCGAACGTTCCCTCCCTCACAGCTCTTCTCCCTTCCCTTCCGTGAGCCAGGCAGCACCTGTTGGGCCACCACCAGCACAACTAACTGCAAGCACACTGGAGAAAGCCTGCCACTGCTGCAGCGCTGTGGGCAAGGGGCTCGCACACTCCGTGGACTTGCTCCATCGAGCTGCTAATGCAAGACATTTTCTGGAGGCGACCGGTGTGCCCCTGGCTGGCTGCTGGTGTGGGCTAACAAGGGTTAACCGCTCTCTGTCTGGCCCCCTCCTCCTCTGTGCGTTCCTGTCAAAGACCTGCTCCCTGGCCAGCCAGGGCTGGGATTAGGCTGTGAGCCGGCTGGCGGACACCCTGTGCAGGAATCAAGCCCCGCTGTCCGCAGGCAGCACCCACGGGCGCCGCGCAGCCCTCCTGAAGGAGCTCCAGACCTGAAAGAGCAGCAGGCAGGGGTGGGAAGATTTCAAAAATCTGCAAGTTCAAAATAACCTTTGAAAAGCCCCAACCTAACAAAATATCAACACTCTTTATTTTTTTCTTTTCCTGAAAGACTGCAAGCATTTTAGTTACAATGACTGTTCAGGAGCCATATGGAAAAATCAGTTCTGTCCTGTTAAACTGGTTGCACAGTTGTGGTTTTCATCTGTCTACAGAGATCTGAAAAGTCTATGTTGTTTTATTGTACGCTTTTTCAGCAAAGCAAGCAAGTGGTCTGGGGATCATCTGGCCAGAAACACACAAGGTAAGCAGTGTGTTTTTTTGTGTAATGTATTTCAGGAGGCTAGGAGTCCACTGTTTGTGTAACTGAGCGAAATCAGCCTTCAGGACGATGCTCTCTTTGGAATAAGCTGATTATATGTTGGTCGGTCGCCTGGTTTGTTTGTTTTCCTGGACAAGAAAAGCTGAGCTGCCCTGGTGTCAGTGTGGTTGTGAGACCCTGTCATTCAAGCAGCAGATAGACTTTTTTTCTTTTTTAAATCCTCTCTGAAGGGCAAGAAACACGGATTGCGTCAAAGGTAAAGCAAAATATTTGGAGTTATATTTTTGATGTGTAAGCTATATTTTGACTACAAGACTAACAAAGTGGCAGAGAACTGACTCAGATTCATAAGGAAAACTGATAAAATATATTTAAAAAGCGGTATGTTCTCAACAGTTCTTTTGACTTGTTTGGACTGTTGTTTAGTCTTACATTCAGGAAGGTGCTAGGAATATCACAGAGCTTTTGAAAGAGGACAGGAATATCCTAATTATTAGGATGTTAAATAGGACATTCAGATGATCTGGGTTCAGATGATCTGGGAGTGATAATTTTAACAATCTCAGTGATTCTGAAGATATACATTACTTTGGGAATCACTGATGAAAAGTCTTGTACACAGAAGTCCACAGCTTATTCAGTACTACATTTAAGTGTGCAGATCTTGAATGGATTTATAAAGGAACTGGCTCTTATACAGACTCATTTAGGTGAATCATAATGATCAGCAGCTCTGCTGAGTTGTAGGCTGAGTGCTGAAGTCAAAAGCACCTTTTCAGACACCAAGAAGAAATGTCTGGTCTCAGAAACAAGTAAAATTACAAAGTGTTGAACCTTTGTCTTCTATGTTCTCTTCATCATCGACTGATAATTAGATTCAAGCAGGATCTTTACTCCTTGCTGCTTGTAAGATACAAACTACTTTTCCCATAAAGGGATATTGCTCACAGAGCTCCCTCTGCTTTCCAAATCCCTGAGCTACAGCTGTCACCTGCTTTTAAAGGTCTATTCCCTTCTCTTTAAAGCCTTTCCCACTTCTGCATTTTCCCCTTTCAGAAGCAGGATTTGGCAGAAAGAAAAGGTTGCAGGGACAATCAACAAGCTCACATAACAGTGTGCTGTCAAAATTTTGTCTGAACTGGAGCCTCCTGTGTAGTTCTGTACGATGTACAAAGAACAGTTCAAATAACAGGCATCTCCATAGGTGAGCTCTGGCAGTGTTTGAGCACTGTGTTTTTCCTTCATAGATTTGAAGCCGATAATAAAGCCTCTTGACACAAGGGAGTGGGCATATATTATTTCTGAAACCCAGTAAGGGTGAATACTATAGAGCTGTTATAGTAGCAGTGAGTAGCAAATGCTGTGACGATCTGGAATTGATGCATGTATGAAACATGTGTAATTCACCATCTCAGAATGATTTTTGCAGCTACCCAAACAGCAAGGTAGTTCCCTTCCAAAGTAGGTGCACACAACTTAAAAAATTAATTTAGAATCAATATATTTATAATCAATATAGGGCTCATCAAACAAGATCTCACCCAGCTCTAAATAACTTTTGACCTTCCTTACATACACCTACAGTCATGAGAGATGTACAGTCTGTTATAAAAAATATTCAATGGCCTCTGACAGAAAGTATGTTTGGGATAGTGACCTCCTATCAGTTTCAGAATAAGTTCCATTACAAATAAACCAGCTTTGAATTTAGTAAATGAATTTTATAAACAACAACAACAAAATAGTAGTTCTCCTTTCTTTCCATCAGCAATGAAGATTTTCGTGTTTTTTTTGACATTGGATTTGTGCTATAGTGACTACGTAAGTATTTATATGTATGTATGTAATCCTATAATTAAAGACTTCTGCCATTAAATCTTCACAATGAGATCTGAAAAAAAAATATTTCTCAGTGAATTAGAAGCAATACAGCAAAGTGCAGACTGGTTGTTTGAATGCCTGGCTTGCTGTGATTATGATCAATATCACTAACGGAACAAAAAGAGAAGGTCACTGATTTTCTCCCTCAAGACAGGAGTTCACATTCACTTCTGTCATTTCACTTTGCAGTACTGAAGATGTCTTGGTGCTGGTTTTATCTGCCTCTCCATCTTCTCATGGCTGCTTGCTTGTGTCATTCCATTAAAGCACCCACCAGCAGTTTGCAACAGAGCTTCAAGAGCAACCTCTTCAACTTCTACCACTCTCTGCTTCTTGCCGATGGTAAGGAAACCACAATTCACCTGCTGAAGGATATTCCTAAAAGGTAAGAGCATGTCAGTCACATCTGTTCTCAGCTACTCCCCTTCCCTATGACACCAGTAGCTGCACACTACCAGCACAAGTGAAGAGCCTGCAGAGCTCCATCAGCATCCACTGGATTTCCTGAGACACACCATGCTGTTTCTGCCCAGCTCAAAGCATCCCCCGATGTTCGTTGTTATTGTGCCCAGTCTGGAGACCCCCCCAAGACAAAGCTCAGGTTCACATGTGCACTGCAGGCAGCTTTCTGTGGTGGTACAGAACCAGGGAGCTCCAACAGCAAACAGCTGTCACATAAACAACCTGGCTTCAGAACCACAGACACATCAGCCTTCCTACATTGACTGTAAGACAATTTTATGAAAGTAGCTACCCCAAAAATCAGTAGAACATGTGTACAGACTTCTCTTATTAGAATGACTTCCATCAGCATCCTGCATGCTAGAAATGTTTTAGTTGAATGGAGCTATTGCTCGCTAAGATCAAATATGCTTTGTATGTGGAAATTCCAGATTCCTCACTTCCTCCAAATAGCTGCAAGATTCGGTGCCCTATCTAAATATTACAACTGGCACTGCATATTAGGCAGGAAAGGCTAACTGATCTGTCTGTTTAAGAAGAGAGGCACTTCACGTGGTTTATCCACCAGAATCCTTTGAACAGTGACCAGCAAGTACAGCTTCTGATGTCCATCTGAGCAGAGCAGTCACGGAGCAGAGGATGAGCCAGATGGTTTGGTCTTGACGCGCACTGCACAGACTGGCACATGGCACGTTACATAATGCCATGATGCTCACAAGAGCAAAACTAGAAGCTCTCCTTTTTGAATGGAAATAGGTATTTAAATCTAAGAGCAGTGAATTAGGCTGTACTATTGTGGCATAACATTAAGGTTTCTACTAGGAATCAAAAAGAAAGAAAGAAAGAAACAAACAAACAAGAAAAAAGTCAGTGTAGCATGATCAAGTAAGAACCTTATAAGACCCGAAGCCGTCTAAGAAGGAAATCAGATGACAAAACTTGGCTTAAAAGACTTGGGAATGTGGAGCTGTTTCCAGTGAAAGTTAACTCCGGACCAGTAGCCACATCCTGAAAGCAAGCCAGACCTTTAGGCTGACATAATCCATCCATAATGAGTAGGCTTGTCTCGCCAACAAGCAAACAGAATTACAATTGCCTGCATTTAACTGCAGAGTGAGTGACCCAAGTCCAAATATTTCTGTGGCTGTACACTGTCAACATTTACGGAAACAACAGAAAAAAAGACCAAAGGAGTGAGACAGGAGGCGGGGCCTTACTGTAAATAAGCAGGGATAAAGAATTTACTGGGGAGACTCATGTCCCTTTGTAGTATTAACACACAGCAGCCTCTGTCACAAAAGGAAGTTAGAACAGAACTGTCTGAACCTGCCAGTGATACCTGATGATCTCCAGGACTGGCTAAAGCTATTCTATCTTCATCCTACATAGATGAAGTCCTAGATATCCAAGCAGATATGAGCAAACTCAAAGCTTTCACAAACTCCAGTCAGGGAATTTGTGGGGAAAGTGTACCAAATTGCCCCAGTTAGCCAACGAGTGGTTATCTCTAGGGCAGCTTACCACATTCATCACCCAAAATAACCAGGTAAGTATTGAGATATGCTATTCACCTGAAGCATACTAAAATTCAGTGGGAAAAAAAAATACTGCCTGTGGTAAGTGGACAAAACTTCCAGCAACTATTTCTGAATTAGGAAAAAACACAGCTTATGTTCTTCCCACAGCTGAAAGGTTCAGACATCCTGCAACTGAGATGCATCCTGTTGTTGATGCACCTCAAAAGGCAGCAGTCATCTCTACCCACCGTGGAGTGACCACATCAGAAGGGACAACTTTTAGTGGTAAACTTGAATTTCTTGCAGCTCTTGCTTTATTTCTAATCCACTTTTACAGATACTACTTTGTTCTGGAGGAGGGCAGAGCCCTGGCACCTTTCTCAATAACAGTGACCCCCTGTGATGTTCCCATCGAATGGAGCATACTTGTGCACAAGGCTTCAGCAAGCCTCCTTGGAAAAGTAGCACAAGGTAAGACCTTCGGCCTGCCTGAGCAGAGACAGAGAAAGCCTAAGTTATCCAGAAGGGGTGTTGTTACAGAAAGTTTGCCACAAGCTTAAACATCTCTAAACTCTACCATGAAGAGGACACCCATGTCTCCACAGGTGATATTTGCAGTCCATGGGATTTTGTCATCAATTCAAGAAAATTAGAGATTACGTCTATATACATCAAAATCTCAGGGTAATATTTGGGAAATACACTGAGTAGTTCGGGTACCACAAGCATGGATCGGCTTCATGAACTTTGTTCTTTCCCCATCTTCCCTCTGTAATATTGCCTCCTGTGACCAAGCTAAGCTGATAGCAGTAACATTACCACATTGCAGAGCACACTGCTTGTAGCCCTGGATCTCCATGCATTTTTAAAACCACCTTCTTCCTAAGGAAATCTTGCTACACAGCACTATCGAGGCAGGCTTTCCAGTCAGCCCAGCCAAAGGGAAGAACTGTCTCAGATGTTTCTCTGTGGCTTAGGCCACCTAAACCAGTTATCATCTGGTTTATCTCCCAGTGTCGTGCAGAAGATTTACCCATTTGATTTTCTAGGAATATTTACCATGGCAGCGGGCATTATACTGAGTTTAGCCTAAGAGGAAATTCCAGGGTTTTTTCATGATTTCTGGAAATAATTTTTTTTTAAAAACTAAGATCTGAAAGCTGCCACTAACAAGTTCTTTCCTGTCAGACAGCTAAACCCAACTGAGGAGTTCAAATACTGTTCTTTTAGAAGTGATGTTTTTCCTTTTCATAGGAGACAGAGGCACAAAACTAAAATAAACTCCTTTCATAGTAGTTTAGTCTCCTTAAAGAAAAATACCTAAATAAAAAGCTAGTGGAAGAAGAAAAATGTAAGTGCATCAGGCACATTGAAGTTCAAGCTTGTGCAAGCTGTGGTTTTATAATTATAGTCTTTTTGAAAAGAGTTCCACAACTGCACTGTTAAAATAAAAGCCACTCAAATTTTCTGTTACTAAATGGCCAGTAGCAAAAAGCATCTTTAGGTATAATTATTTTCAGGAAGGTAGGAAGTAGGATGTTCCCTGACACAAACAAGGAAACCTAAGCAATGTGCTTTGACATCTATGAAAGCAAAAGTTACAGGTCTGCTTTTTTGTTTGCAGGTGAACATGATACACAAGATATCTCAAACACCCAAAAGGCTACAAGCTTTGTGTCGACCATTTTCAACTACAAGGGAAATTCTGTCGAGACTTACATGGGCATGTCTTCTCATTCTGCCCTCTACATGCTGGAGTTCTTATCCACCGAGCGTGATACGCACATCACTGTGTACTTAACAACTGACACAACATCTGGGCACCTCTATCCGGAACTGCCGCTGGATCCACGCTTAGATGTGGTTGGCATTGGCCATACAACAGTGACTCTGACCTGGAAACACAGTCCCTCCGTCTTGCAACATCGAGAAAACATACAGTACTGTCTCCTAGTTAATGAAAAGCACAATTATAAGAGCTTGTGTGCTGCTGAGACAGCAATCAGATCTTCTGGAATGAAACTGCCAGCTACATTAGCTTTGTCTCTGTCTCCGTACCTTCTTGAGCCACAGCAGGTGATGATATTGTCCAACAGTGAGTTGAGCATCATCAACAGAGTGAGCAGTGGGGAAGTCAGGCAGATATGCATGGGTACCAAGAACACTTACACTGTGCCCAACCTCAGTCCCAGCACTCAGTATTATTTTGACGTTTTTGTTGTCAATCTCCTCACAAACGCCAGTGCTGCTTACACTGGGACATTTGCAAGAACTCTGGAAGAACCTGAACCTAAGGTGATGGAGCTGAAAGATGGGAAGGTGGTTCAGGTTGTCCTGGATGGAAAAAAGCAGAAATTCCACACTCTGCAGTACCAAGCGAGGCACAAGAAAGTACAATTTACCTTTCAGTTGTGCCGTGGTCAGGTACGGGTTCACATAACAAAGAATGGTAAAACAGTGGCATCAGAAAACATTTTGGGACTGAGATATTTGTCACTGAAAGGAAAGCTGCTGGACATGTACCTGGTGCAGCTGAGGTCCACAGAGGAATCCAACTCTTCTGTGAAAGTACAGGTCTCCTCTCAATTCAACAAGCCCTTATTCCCACTTCTTCCAGAAAGCTTAAAGATCAAGTCTTTCAGCAAACTGAGGACCTGCAATTCCGTCACCATCGCCTGGCTAGGAACACAGGAGCAGAGCAAGTACTGCGTGTACAAGAAACGGATTGAAGAAGATCAAGTGTGGACGGAACTGCGGAGCACAGACAGGTGCTCTGGACCTGAATCTCGGCACAAGTCAGAGAAAGTGCTGTGCAAGTATTTCTATGATGTCAATCTCCAGCGAGCTGTCACCACTGAGACCATCAAAGGGCTGGATGCCGGGACGCTTTACTTGTTTGATGTTTATCTCATCGGGCCATCTGGCATCCCTGTCAGATATCACAGCAAAGTTGTGAAGACCAGGAAAAAGTGCTGAAGGTTCTTCACAAAATGTTTTGGAATGAATGACGACTTATCAAAACCTATGCCAATCCATGCCATAGCCCAGACAGTTTAATATATGTTGACAAAAAAAGTCTAAAGCTGTGAGATTCTGCAGAGGAACGATCTTAGGTTAGACCATTACGCTTACTTGTGCATCTTCTCCTGCCTAAGTTTTTCTCAGCTGTCTCATTCACATAACAAAAACAAACTTGAAATAAATCCATGTACATGGAAATAAAGTACCCACAATGGCACCCATGAGAAATAGATCAGTTACCTAAAATACTCCTAAAACCCAACACACAAGTGATGGGAGATGCCTCTCAAGGAGCACACATCGTTATTGTTGAATTCCCACAGAGTTTTCCACAACATGTAACTCCATCACTTAATGAAGAACTGTGAGACCCAACAAGCAAAACTGTTTTTGAGAAATCCAACTTCCCTGCTGCTTGAACAGTTCGCAGGGATGGAGACAAAAAGAAAAAAAAGCCGCAGAACTAGTGTCAAGCTACGACAGCTCAAGTAGTGCAGGCTGAAATACTTTCCCTACTGCCTGCATGTTTGCTTGGTTTTCACTTCTAGAGAGAAACTGTGCTTGGGGAAAAAACTTGGGCCAGGAACTGCTTCTGCATCCAGTTTTACTGGGGAGTATAAAAATACAGTGCTCTGCTGCTACCCATTGAGGAAAGGAATAAGTAAGGAATCCAAGCATTTCCTTCCCAATAAGTTTTTTGTTTTTTTTTTTCCCTCCAATCTACAGCTTCTGATATCAAGCCTATGTCTATTCCTGTGTGACTCCTGAGTGTGATATACTTGCTCTTTATATTCCCAATCCAGCCTACATCAATGAATGTGTTGCTTTATCAAAAAAGTAAATGTGGTTTTCCTTTTAGATATCATTGAGGGAGAAATATTTGTAGTAAAAAGCCTGACAAACTTTTTTTGTTGTCTTCGTTTCCTTGACTACCTTCCTTAGATGATACATTAAAGTACAAAAAATACTTGAAGAAATGAAGCCTTGATAAAAAGCTTATCCTAAATTTCAATTATCAGCAGAAAATATTTAGCACATAGGTCTGGAATTTACATATATAGAAATACAATGTCATTGACCCAGTGGTTGCCAGAGAAGTCTTGCCTGCTGCAACCCTTCTATCTGCAATTACATTAAGCAAAGTTATAAATAATTCCGTTACTGTACATTTCACAAGTTCACTTCCAGTCGGTGATCATCAAGGTTGTAGTTTACTCTGAATAATTACCTGCAAGCATGCTTGGAGGCACTTGGTAAGAACTGCTCTGTGCGTTCACATAGGATTATGCATTTCCTGCTCCAAAAACTCCGTAACATCATGCTAAAGGGGCAGGTTGCTCAACCCCTGCACAGCACATCCTGTACCTTAGCAGTCTCATTCCCAGACAAAGGGTTCTGGCCTTCCCATGGGATCAGCTGCAGTATCTGGGCTTTGGCTAGGCTGTAAATTCCTGCAGGCACTACTGTAGATAGAGCAGTGCCATGGCAGGAGCCATGTGCTGTGACCCCCTCCCTACACTCCGCAGGCCTTTTGGCTAATTACGGGGCTGGCAGCTGCATCGCCTTTTTCTAAGGCAAGCCTTCTCTTCATTTTGCTCCAGCCAAAATGAGCCTGAGCTCAAAGAGCAACAGAGGTCACCTCCACTTGGAAATCTTCGTGTTTGCTTCTGCCTTCCTCAGTCATTTATATTCTGGGTGAACTTCACTTAGATGCCCTACAAATCATTAATAACCAGAATAACAACAGAGGAGTAGGAAGTATTTTTGCACATAGAACACAATTATTCCTCTGCCCCTAGGCTGTGAAAGCATTAACCCTTACTTTTGTCCTGTACACAGAGGTGCCACAAACATGTCTCTGAAAGAAGACCGATGAGTTGGCACCCTGCCTCTGCTGAGGAATATCCTCCATAACAAAACTGGCTTGAGACTCCTCAGCAAAACTTTGGTTTAGGGCTGCAGCCAAAAAGTCTGAGGAAGGGATCTTTATGGGAGCAGCAACTGCTGCTACTAGGAGGGCTCACAGAGGAGCTGCCAGCCCCACATCTGTAAGCAAAGGCCCCAGCACACAGGAGGCGGCACTGAGCTGCAGAGAAGAGCATGCTGTGCTCTTCTCTGCAGAGGCAAACCCCTTGCCTCTGTTACAAGCAGAGCAGGCAACCTGTCATCAAGGTAACAGCCCACATTGCCCACATGTGCAGCCAGGCACAGCCTGTAACAGAGCCCAGATGCAGCAGCAAATATTCCTCCCCACTGATCCTTCCACAGTGTGCACCAGGCTGCAAAGCTCTGGTGAATTCTCTCATGCCCACAGCCTGCTCAGAGGCAGCCCTGGGGTGCGCTGGTTGAAGTCAGGCACCACCTCGCTCCCTGTTGCCTTGGGAGTGAAGCCACAGAGGATTGTCCATGAGGAAGCCAAAGGCACTGCCTAATACCACTGGTGCCCGCCCTGCCCCTGCCAGCTGCTCGGTGTGCACCCAGAAGCTGCTCGTTCCCTTTCAAAGCACTTGGTCATCCTCCCATCTTCTCTCCCTCCCTTTGGACTAGTGCTTGGCTACTGCAGCCTCACCACCAACACTCAGCCCATTTCCCTCCTTTCTTTTTAAGCTTTCTGCACAGTCTCTTGATGAAGTTTTCAGGAATCTGCCCCTCAATCTGAGTTACATAGGAAGTGCAGACATCTTCATGAAGACTTCTAAAGTAAGGTTTTGCTTTTGTGGATCCCTTAAACTAAGCCCTCAACAGCTTTATCAGGCAGAAGTATTTTTCCTAGTGTTCAGTGGTTGGTCCCAGCTTGCATGCTTCCAGCTATCCTACAAGTCCTGTCACAGCTGACATCAAAGCCTGAGGTCACACATCACTGCCCAGCATTTTTACCAAACTGCTCCCATTTCTAAGTCACCACTGCACATGGTGAGCAGCAGTTGGGAGCACCAAAAACAGACAGGACAAGTAATAACAGAAGACAGGCTTCATATCCACATCTCCTTCCCCTGGGGGCTCAAGCCTCGCAAATCATTATTTGCCTTCTGGATAAGAGGAAGAGTCTGAAACAGTGCAATGATGAAGCACGGACTCTAAGTTTGCCGTTGTGTACACCTGTAAGCCACAGGCCTGCACAGCAAGGGGCTCTTCAGCATTTTCCAGTATTTCGTACAGCTGCTAGAGACCTTGAAACAACTTAAAACTGTAATAATAGCTCATCTCAGTCATACTTTGAAGTAGACTGCTACTTAAAACCAGTCTGTCACCAGTTTCAAGGACTGATGACATTTATGAGTTTCACACTAACTGACATTAAGAATTTTACCCTTCCTCTTTCCCCTGTATTTAACAGCCCATGCATTCAACCCTTGTTACTTCAAGCTTATTAACAGATGTACATACCCTTCAAAGTAGATCCAGTGGTCTCTTAGAAATTGTTCCCTTTCTGCTTACAAATACATCCAGGGGTGCAGCCACAGCTTTGAGCAAAGGAAGTATTTTCTTCATATCCTTGCATGGCTGTCTTTCCCCGACTAATGTCTTCCCAACCTGAATACTTGTTTCTAGCTTAAAGAACGAGCTAAAAATACCTTGCTGTTTTGGCCCCAGGTTCTGGACTGAAATCCAGCTCACTAATTGCTTTCAAAGACATGGAGCTTGTGTTCATGTACATGTATGCATATCGCCCCCATTTTGGACTTTATTACTATTAGCTTTTGGAGGGGGGGCAGGATAACAGGGGGAGAAGTGTTTATGAACCTTCAACACGGTGAAGCATCCTGGCCAAATGTGGCTTTGCACAAGGCTTAGAAATCTAGGAGCCGAGTAACATTAATACTGACAGCAAGTCCTAACCAGCGACCCCAAAACGCCAAAGGCTTTCAAGGGTTGTTAGAGCAACTGAAGCTCTCTGGCATTTAGAAAAAATGGGTAACGCAGTAGCTGGAGATTCCTTCAGCAAACACACAAAAAATAGATTTTATCTTTGGGGATGCAGGCGAACAATAGCTGCACAGCAAATCATTATTGTTGCCTGTTCTGCCCATGCTGGATTTGAGATATCACAGAGTGACAAAGGACAGGTAGGCAAATATGTTTGCCAGCAGAACACCAGGTATTTCCTGGACACATCTGTTCAGGAAATAAGAAATATTGTTTAAAAAAAAAAAAAAAAAAAAAAAAGCTAAATTTACTAAAAGATGCAAACACTACGCCACTCTTGCATTGCACTGTTCTCAAAGAGCCACGAAATGCAGCTCGAGGAGGAGCCTGGAGGATGCTGTGCCATCTGCTGCTGGGGTGAGCTGCTGTCCCCTGGCAGCTAATGCTGCGAGATGGGTGGGCATCCTGGCTGCGGCCAGGGCTGCGAGCACAAGAGGGCAGGGTTAGGCAGTAAACGAGAGGCAGGAATTTGATAAGGCTCATCGGGAGCTAATACTTTCTCAAATTTAATAAGCCAAGCATCTTGCTGACAAGATTAAGGCACAAGAGACAGAACACAAAAAGCTACTAACTTTTTATAGTCCACATGTTCCCAGATTTCTTTTAATGTTTAAAGCTGAAGAGCACAAAAAAGTGATCACCGAAGAACAAAGAAAGAATAGACATTTGCTGGAAAGATTAACACCGGCGTGCCCAGCGCTACAGAAAGTTTAAAGGCTGCTATCACTGAAGGAGGAGTCAAGGATCCTATGACAAAGATAGTCACAAAAGAGCACTAAGGACAGTCACATTTGGTATGTTTAAAGTGGTGAGTTACAGTTCATGCATAACCTGCCCAGCACGTGATCCCTGGCATCCCCTGACTTCTCCTTTAGTGCTCTTGCCCTTTCTCACCAACACCACTCTTAGCAGGGCCTTACCTCCCACCCAAGCTTGCTGTCACACCAACTCTCTGGGACGCCACAGGAGACATTCACCGCAGACCCCAGTTTGTCAAGTGTTTGTTCTTCAGGGATTTTGCTCACTGGCTATCTATCTTCAGGAGATCCTTAGAGGATATTCTTCCAGTGACTAAGGATGCTGAGTCTCTGGTTAAAGAGCCATCCCTAGAAAACCGCATACTGCTCCTGTGCTGCTCTTGCTCTCTCTCTGCAAAGCTGTTCCCCTACCTCACACTTATGAAAACACCCAAACAAGGCTCATCTGCCCTGAGATGAGAGCAGATTAGACACAGGAAGCAAGCATGAGAAAGTGTCGTGTCTTTCTGCAGGTACTGGCACAGTAGTGACACAGGCAGGGCTCAGAGGAAGACTTGGGAGTTTGAGAAGTCTTTCAGACTCCTGTAGTCATTTGCTCTGAAAGCAGAACCTGGTAGGAAAGGAGACCTTTTTCCAAGGCAAGGGTCAGGACAGAAAAGCATAAAATATCTAAAGCTAATGAGGTACAGGTTGAGTTTGTTAGACGCTTTTAAGAAAAGGAAGGGCCTTGCTTTAACTACTTTTCGCATCCTGCTCCCATTTGTTGAGCTTCTCTACTGATTCATTTCTGTCCCTGAGGTTCAGTGCCAGCATACAAACCCACTAAGCAGCCTCTGGTATTCCTGTAGCTCGTGACTCATGCACGTAGGAGAGCTCAGCGTGCAGTCTGCACTAGGACTGTGACTAAGGAAGTACTCAGCCTCCTTTAAAGGCTTCTGCAAACAGCCACACAGAGCACACTACAGGTACAGTGCTGGAAGTCAAGGATTTCCCATCTCACAGAAGAGTTTCATACATGTACAATAAAAACACAAAACCACCACAAACTTAGGACACAACCCACCTCTTCTGTTTCCAGTGTTCTCAGGAAGGTGAGGCTGTAGCAAAACCACGTTTTCCATTCTGCTCCCCAGCTCAGCTTCTCCAGCCATTGCTAAGCTCCTAGGTTAATTAATAAGTCAGAGGTCAGCCATCTGAGTAGATCCCAGTTACATGGCTGCAGAGAAGCAACTTCTGTGCCATGTCCCCAGGGAGGGTTTTGTAGGCATACCAGAGGCAAGCACAACCAGAAGCTTGACTGGCTTCCTAGGCCTCACCAAAGTAAGAAGGATTCATGGCTGAACACTGGTGGCACCTGATTAGAAAATTATTTCAGGTGAACATTTCTGCACGCAAATAACTGGCATTGTGATATACTAAGTGCATCTGTAAGATGGATAGGTGGGGTCTGTAAGGCCTTCTCCTTAACCTACCAACAGACAGTACTGCTGGTTCACACTGTCTCCAACAGGTTTGCGCTATGGGGATAAAATAACTACTGCAGGATGAGCAGAACTACTGCTGTTCGCTGCAGTGGTGCCACCGTTTATCTCCTAAGGCTTCAGCCTCTGAACTCCTATAATGAACAATTCCTTCCTTCACCTTCTCTCATTCTTAATACATAGAATGCGTATGAGCTACAATACCCAGCTGGAAAACAAATTTTTATAGTATCTTGGGGAGATCAACATTATTATCTGGGACCAGCTTCAAGCTTTTTAAGCATGAGTTGACAGTGGAATGTCAGCAACAGATTTATGAAGGATCACAAAAGCAGGAACAAAATTTACTTACAAAAAGCAGGAAGGCTCAAGATGTTGACTGTATACAAAGCAAATTTTAACTTGGAGGATTATTTAGCCTTTTTTTCAGATAGGAGGACCCCAGCTGAAGGGGAAGCCAATACTAAGGACCGACTGTGAGCAGTGCCTTTGAGGACAACAGCAACCCACAATTACCCAGAGAGAATGGCTCCTTTATCTGCAGTTCAGGGAAAGAAATAATTTTATTATTGGATTGACCTAAAAAAATAATCAAAGATCTATGTTCAGGCAGTTAGTTTCGTAACTGGGCCAAAACCTCTGGTTTTGTAATGTGGCACAATCCTTTGAAAGCCAGATTTCCAAAAGCACAGTGCCAGTTTCTCAGCTGAGACTGAGAACCCACAAATTGGCCAGACCATCAGAAGTGCTTTGCACATATCTCCTATTGGGACAAAATCTTTTAAAATCTGTCCATAAGTCAATGAAACCACAATGGTTACATCTGCAAACAATTTGACCCGTATTTTCCCTAGTCATGATTATGCAAAGGGAAAAAATGCCAGTTCTTAGCAACTGCTTAATCCTTGTTATCCATACATACTGACCCTCAATCTAGAATACCTGTGAGAGCGCACAGTATGATTTTGTTTGTCCCAAAATGGAATCACAAGCCACAGAGGAAAAGCAAGTCACTTCCAACCCCCAAATACTATTTCACAGCAAAAAAAAAAAAAAAGAAAAAAGACTTTCACGTTGTCCACAATTAAACTTCTCTAGAAGTAATATCACAATTCCTATTTGTGCAAATTGTCTGTTTGCAAGGGTAGGCTATTCTTGAAGAAAGGACTTGAAGATAGAATCGGAAGATGATTCACAACATGAAAAAAATCTGTAAATCTATTGTTCAAAACCAGACAGAGCGGAAGTCAGCAGCTCACGTTGCAATGGGTGCAGTTACTTCTAACTACAATAACTGACAATTGGATTATTTTAATAGCCTTCTGAGACTCATATTGGCAGCAAACCTAATATTTCAGCTATTTGGATAAAATTGTTCTTGCCTCTAGGGTATTGTTGTTTATTTGCCTCAACTCTATTAATTCCATCTTCACCAGGTATTCAGAAAATGTGTGATAGCAGAATTGATCTGTCGAAACATACTGAACATTCTTTTCCAGATGATTGAGAAATAATTCACTTAAGTAGTTCTCTTGCAACATCTTTTGGCTACGCTGTCCCTCCCACTAGCTTCTTACAAGGATAGAGAATCACATCTTATTGTCCTATCACAGTTTTTCTCTGCCGACTTTAGCAAAATATTCACATAGACTTACTTCATTTAGAGCAGGAGGTGACATTCTTTTCCCTGATTCTCCATCCCATCCCTCTCCAAGAACAGTATGTGTAAATTGTCACTCCAAGGCACAATGACATCTTAGAATAAAGCATCCAACTGTGAAAGCATATTTAAATGTAAGCAAGTGGAATAAATACAGGGAAAGACCAAACCCTAAGAGCATGAGAGAATGGAAACAAAGAATTACGTACAGCCTTCACACAGGAATGACCAGATCCATCTCTTCTAAGGGTTACTTGGGGTAAGTCAAGATACCTGCTTCCAGGCTGTCAGGCATCCATGGGAACCTGACCTCCTCTGAGTGACTCCCAAGACCCTGTAGAGGTTCTGGATCCGTTTTGCCTTACAGCCTCCTCTGCCTCATGCCTTCCCCCACTGCTGCAGAAGCACGAGGTTCCCTCCACATGTCCTCCAGCATACTGCCTGCCCAGCAGAGCATGTTCACTGGGCAGCTACTGATTCCACAGATAGCACAACTGCTCTGAAGCATACAGAGGTTATGCAGACAGTGCAAGATGAGTGGCATTGGTGCCATACATCCATACTATACCTCCCACGTTCAGAGGGACATATTCCAGCTTCCTGGAAATCAGCGTGGACCAACAAATTGTGGAGTTGTGGCCATACAGAAAAAAAAACAGCCACAAACCTAGGATCTCTATCTGAATTTTCTGTTCCCAATAAAGTAATACTGAACTGCAATATTGAGTTTGTTTGGCCTTGTACGAAATTATGGGTTTTCAGAATGCAGCTTTGATTTAAGGTCTGGTTGTTTTGGATCAGGCTGGTATCCAAACCCTTTAAGAATCAGTTCAGTTATAAGTTAAGGAAGGAGTAAAGGATTTACTGTACTGTTTCATTTAACAATGAAATGTTTCGACTGGAAGCAATTTGTCTGAGTAACTGTCTTTTTACTATACGTATATTCAGGTCACAGCACTGATCCTTGCAGACCTCAGTGAAATAATAAATGTGGTGGGTTACCATTGTTTATTCTCAGTATAAAGTAACTGTACAATTTTACCATTAGATGGCACCAGAGAATATTTTAACATTTACACAAAGGACCACTGAAACTGAAGCCTGGAATAGTCTTAAAGCAGATGTAGCCACTAAAATTAAAAAAATACTCATCTTTGCAATGCATATGAGCACTTTAATTACTTGACTATAAGTGATAGCTTTACACAGCTCATCAGAATGCAAGTTACAGCTAAATCCATGATTTCTTTATTAGCAAGTTTTTTTTTCTCTATTCTTACATATGAAAAGTATTTGATGTAAAACTGCCATACAGTTTGGTTTAAATGAGATGAACTGCTTTGTAGTGTTTTATTTGTCTTGGGGAAAAAAAAACACATCTCTGCCCAGATAATTCCAAACACAGGCTATCAAAAAAGCACTTTCAAGAGTCCATCTGCATACCTGGTTCAGTTCCAGCTAGGTCTATGAATAATTTACCAGTTAATGAGCTCGTTCTGTTTATGAAATAATACTCTTAAGAATACTAAGGCAGGACATAAGCAGTAGCCATATGTTTCTTCTCGAATTCCAGCTAGACAAATGACCTGAAAATTGCTGTTGCAAGAACTTCTAAAACATATGGCTAAGTACAGGGAATTTGTTAGCTTCTTGTGTCAGATCCAAAAGTTTCCAATTATCAACAAAAGATGGCATACCAACCCAATTACTCCTGATATATTCCAGTCAAGACAGATTCCAAGTAACCATAGCTGTGTGGGTGTATGTGGTTTGAAATAACAGGAATCACTGAAAATTTAGTGTAAATAAAAAAAGTAGACCTTCTACATATCACATCCAGACAAATGTGTCCCAGTGTGCTGAATGTGCTTTCAACAGGAAGCAGGAATTTTTAGGCTTTCTACCAAGGCTGATTTCAAGCCATCATAAACTATTAGAGGTACATTTACTTTCCAGCATTACAGAAAACTCCTGCACAGCTTATTTATTTCATTTGTCAACAGAGTGGAAAAAAATACGCTTCTTACGTAAGATGACAAAAATGTACCAAATCATTTTCAATTATTTTTTTTTTAAATGATTAATTGCAGATGGCTTTTTAAGACAACATCCTTGTAGTGCTGGGTAAACATGAGGCTACAATTAACAGTCAGAACACTAGTACATTATGCACATTTCTGATTCATCTGACTAAGCAACCGAGTCCAATCCCGTGCTCTTACTCACAGGAGTACTTAGACCCAGACTATGAAGACAGTATTTTCATACCAGGCCTTAAGCAAACGATCTCTACATATTCAACTAAACAGTAAGAGATGGAAAAATTATGTTTACAACAAACTGGAATTCACAGAACAGCTAACGAAAAAAAAAAGAAGGAATACACTTGTAAGCTAAGTTACATTTCATATACATACCAAAATTACAGTTCAGTCATCTCAAGAGCTATATCAACTGTCAAGGATTACTTCTGTTGTACTATGTGGGTCAATGCCAGTCTATTCTTCGGGAACTACTTTTCCAGGTTAATTTGTTTTAATCACATATTTACCATGCAAAGAAGATAAAGGTCTACATTCATGTTGCATTTATGTTTGAATTCTGACTATTAAAGACCGACCCAGTTTAGATCCTTTATGCTTACCTTCTAACTACTGCAACTGTTCTAAAGTTTAAGCCATGGGTGGTAGCAAAACATACTAAATAATTATCCATAGGCAAGCCAATTAGTTACTGAGATGCTTGCCCTTTTGTCAGTCACAGCTCCCCTTGGGTCAAGCTGTGCAATCCCCACCAGAGCAGAACCTGCTACACCTCACACCTCTGCTTCACTCCGGTGGGAGTAGGGCCTGACTAAAGGCTGCTGAAGCATCCGTAAAGGTCCACTTACTGAAGGAAAAGCACACTGCTGGGGAAGTGGGAGGGAACCCCCCCAAAGCCCACAGAACCTCAAAATTCCCAGGCAAGCTGATCATGAGACTGACCCATTTCAGCTGAATAGAACAGTGTGAGGAAAAGTCATCTCAAAACACTTAGCACAGACTAAACATTAACATAATCTCGTTTACAGAAGATGTAGAACAGTCAAGAAATGCAGTCTTCTCCTAACAGCTCAGCTTTCACTTTCATTAAATTGAAAAATCACTAATTTAACTAATTCCTCACGTATTATATTGAGAGTAGTGCCCCAGCTACTAATGAAAAGGCAGATTTTTAAACCAATCTAAGGTGTCATGATGAAAAAACAGCAAACATTTTGTAGCTGCATAAGTTATCTTTAACTGCAGTAGGAAAATTCAAGAAGTGGAGAGTTGGTTTGCTAACTCCATGCTATTTGAATCTAGATGAACAATGTAATTCCCCCCAAACAAGAAAAAAAAAATTACTTTATCAGAGTTAATAGTATCTGGCACTGTTCATAGGAATTTCCAATATTAACCCACCTGTAAACCAAAGAAAACATTTTCTCATAGCTCAGGAATCAGTGTCATGGCAGCTCATTTGTAAGACACTGGAATGTTGCTTGTGAAACTCAATCTGGTATGAGCACATGGAGATTTTTCAATGATTAGCCATTGTTTTATCAGCTCCAGAACAGAAAAAGGTTTCACAAAAATGTTAATGGTAACGAACCGGCAATGCTTCCTGACCACCAGAATACCAGTAGCCAAAAGGTTTTCTAGGCTTCCTTATACACATTTTTCTTACTAAAACATGGAACGAGTATTCAAAAGACTGTGCCATGCATCACAAAACCTACTTCTAATTCAGCAACAATCCACATACCAAAAAAATTTGTCTCCACCGCACAATATGCTCCTGTCCAGTTGTCAACCCTGGGCTCTCAGACCTGCACCTAGTAACAGCCAAATACATATTTTTAACTCCTCCTTTTCCCGCTATTATTTTTGTTGCAGATTGTACTTTAACCCTGAAGCACATTGTTTTACATGTTGTAGTTTGAAGTACATGACTGTTCCAACAAGAAACTTAAGCAGATGCATAGTTTAATCCCATTAGTAGGCCTATTGATTTTGGTGGATTTATTTGTATACATAAAGCCAGGAAGAAGCATCATAGTGAGCGATGACCTCTTTACAATCCTGTACTTACGTATTATCTAGAATCTTCTAGCTATCTGAATGTCAATATGTACATGATAAGCTTTAGCTATTTCAGAAAAGCTATGTCCAGGATTTCTACAGTATGAGCTAAACATCGATACCATGGCACTACAGAGTACCTCTCCCAGGGACCTGAATCCTGCTCTCCTCCTCCCCCCCATTACAGGCCGGTCTTATAACTGATTACACACAAAGTGGATAAAAGCAGTCTGCTCCAGTACATCTGCATAGAGAGTCACTCCAGTAAATAGTCCACTGGTGGATGTGCAGTTGTCTGTGATGCTGTATTGCTGGACTGTTTCCACATATAAATTATTATGCATCTCATCTCCTCACACCTCAAGACCCACATGCCCTTTGCCACTCCAGCACTAACATGTTACACAAAGAGTTCAGGAAGGGTACAGATTAGTTAAGCAAGCATAATTTAGTGCACAGCATCTGTGCAGAAGCCCTTGTGTTGCATAATTACCATGCCCTGTAAGGAAGAGCCCCCATCTTTGTGCTTTTACATCACCCTCTGGAGTCACGCAGCTCTTCACTTAAACTCCATCAGCTCTAAGTGTCCGTATCCCTTGCAGGGTGGCTGTGTGGAAGGACATTCCTCTTTGTTAGTTGGAACTGCTGCCTCACCTCCTAAGATTAATTTGGTCCAGTGGTCTCAGACAGTGCTTTGTCACTAGATATTAAGACTTCAAATATGCAGAAAGGGTCAGATAAGACACTCAGACTATTTTAGTATAAAATGCATAACATTCTTAGAGCAAAGTGTGCAAGACTCCCACAACTATTTAAGTTAATAATTAAAGGGCCTTCCCTTAGGGTTAACCAAGTCAAGTTAGTAATTCATCTCATTTAAACGTACACATACTAGGATAAAAAAAAAGAATGGAAGACTAATCATTTTGTACTTCATCCATGCATAGCAGCATATCATAACTGCATACAGAGGTGCAATGTGAAGCTAGAAAAGTAGAATAAGCCAAACACTTTGGTGGCCGTAACAAAAAGTGCAGCAAGCCACATAGTTTAAAGCCATCCAAGCTTCCCGTTCCCCTTAGATCACAGCACAAGACATACCTGCATATCAAACAACTCTGGTGACCACACCAGTTCTTCAAACTCCACAGCATTCACTCAGAATGCAGGCAGACCAGTACATGTAAATATAATGTACAAGTAACTTTGCAAATGTCTATCTCCTGTATGGTGAATTCTGGCTGGTGGTCCTAGCCAGTACTGCTCCAAGCAATGCTTGAAAAGCAAACTTATTCAACTCTTACATTGTTCACAGCTTTGCAGAAGAACTATACCATAGTAGAAGACAGGAAGTGGAAAAACCATTTACACTGGCACTAAAATAAATTAGGTGCTGATTCCTATTGCACATGGATAGAATTGAGTGTCTATTTCCTTTTTTTTTTTTTTTTTTTTTTTGAGAATCCCATTTTTAAATATACTGACCCACACCAGCTAAATTCAGAAAGACAATCCCAACAGTCTCCAGCTTAGCATTTTGGAAATCTGATCTGATTCTGCAAAGCAGATCTTTCCCTTCTGCTGACAGAAAATTGCTCAGCAGAAATATATTGTGTTAGTGTGGTCAACCTTACAAGAGAATACTATTTACTTGGTGACTGGAACATTTAGCTTTAGGGAAGAGACTAGTTGCTGCCTCTTAGCAAACAGTACTTTCCTGCCAAGCCTAAGTCTGTCCTCATCTGTAGGAGTCAATACATTGCACAAAACAAAAGGAGCAGACAATACATTGCACAAAACAAAAGGTGCTGTATTTCCTAAAGGCAGTAACCATCACTCCCTGCAGGTGACACATCAGTCACCATATTAAAAAAAAAAAAAAAAAAAAAAAAAAAGCAGGGGAAAACCAAAAAACATGAACTACACCCCTCATAGAAAATGTGAAAATCAAAATAACACAGAAGCACAGCACTAATCTCAGAAGCAGGAAGAGTGAGATTGGAAAGATAACCAAATGTATACCAAAACAAACTAATAGTGCTTTTAAAACACATAGGGCATAAAAGAATAGCCAGATTTGTCAATAACATGTTACAGTTTTCCACAGGGAAAACTAGCAAATGCACTGTATCTCAGAATAATATTACAATAAGCCTTTAATGAAGTTCCACATAACATCCTTATAACTAGGAAACTGTGGTAAGGAGTAAGCATGTAGAATAAGACCATACAACTGTCTGAAAAGCAAACTCAAAAAAAAAGTCTGTATGCAAGTCATGTAAAGAGCAGAAAACAGGAAAATTGACTAAATTAAGTAGAAAGTGGCCTCTGAAGGTCAAGCCTACAGTCCCATGTTCAAAACAGTGCCAATTACAACAGGTTGCTCATGGTCATGTCCCGAAGCAATCTGTTCAGGACTGAGAGTGCCAACCTGTGCCCACTGCCTCCCGTCCATTCATTACCTGACTGCTCCTTTGAAAGAAGTAAAAGAGCTCTCAGTCAGGCAGCACTGCTAACCACAGCCACACTGAGTTTGGAGGTTGAGCTAAAGGCAACACCAATTGTTCACAGAAAGTACCATTAAAAACATTATTCTAATTTATAAATAAATGTAACAATTATGGCCCAGGCTATATTTTTCAGAGGAACTCTATAGCCACGTATGATCTTTGTATTTACAGTATAAGCTCAGATTTGTCTTTACTATTTATAACCCATTCATGCAATAAGACAGCAATCATTCCTATGTAATCAGTATCTTACATAAATTCTTTTTATTTTTTTTTTTTAAACAGCAGTAATACAAAAATTAGTCCAGAAATCTTCAACATGCTTTTTTAATAACATTTAAAAAATAGCAAGATCAGGAGTCAGGTATTTATTAGGCTAAGTAAAAAACATGCCTCATGGTATTAACAAAGAGTATTTGTTACACTAACATAACTGGATCAAATCTTTATCTGTTGCATGTGCAAATTCATTTATTTCAGCATGTCTGTGTAAAAACGTTCAAGAGAAAAAGGTATTCCTTCATGTCACTGAAGTTCTTGGACATTTACAGTCACTAACCTGATAAAACACTATTACAGACTCGTTTTAGGAATGTAATTCAGTCATTTCAATGCTTCCTGTCTCTGCCTCTGTGGGCTAGTAAACTTGACTTCAACAGTATGGTTACATTAACCTAGCTTTGCTTGCCATTACTATGATGTTTTTCTTTCTTGTGAGTACTATGAGTCATTTCCTTAAATCTTTGCTGGTTTGGCTGCAGTCTGTAGGATACTAGGAACTGCCAATGCTCCTCTTCTCTTCCACTTCTGTTTTTAATTCCACCGTGTGCTAGAAGCATTTCTCTATTCCATGTGTTTTATCTAAGGTATTTTTGTTGAAATAAGTAGATTTTCACCTGATGTAAATCATCCAAGGTCAGCTGTCAGCACAGCTTCTTTGAAGCTGTCTAAGTTTACACTTGTTGAAGGTCTGAGCCCTATGTTTTATTACCATTTTGATAAAGCCCTTGCAGATAACTAGCCATTTCCCATGCTTGAAAACATGGCTGTACTACTAAACTGAGCGAGTAAGTGGAAAGAAGTCTTTACACTTAACCAAGTCAGTCAGGTCTTGATACATTTTTGATGACATAGGTCTTCTACATGCTCCTAACACTTGGCAGGGGGAGGAAAAACACACAAAAAAGGAACAAGAATGTAAGTACATGAAGTCTTTGACCTCTGGACATAAACAAGTTTTTATTCATTTATTTCCTAACTGGGTCACATATAGAGTTCATACAAAATTGTAGTTAATTCAGGAGACCTGTATTCTACATCTGGCAGATATAGCTCAAGACAACAGGTCCAGAAGAGATTAAGGAGAGGCAGTTTTCATCTGCTTTGAACAACCTGGGCACAAAGCAATCGCCATTGCTGAAATGGTTCTTATTGATGGCAGACTAAAATACACTGGAGAAGTGTAAGACACCAACTGGCATCCCTCAGTAAGTGTCTGCTTCTAAGTGTTACACAGGTAAGGAAAAGAGATCTCTGCTGAGAAGCAGGTAACATCAAAGAACACATTCTAGCTCCGTCTAAAGCCTGTATACAGACAAATAACGTACCCTGGCCTCTAGTGGTTTTCCTCGTAGCATCCACAGGACTGTGCATGTTTCTAATACCACAGCACCCAGCTGCAAAGCCTAGTTCCCCCGTTCCTGCTCTTAACACTACTCCCTATTTAGGTCAGGGCTGCATTTGCCTCAACAAACACACTAGAAAGCTAACAGTACTTTCTTCATAGCCCATGTTTCATACCTCCATCAAACTAACTTATTTTTTCTGAACATTTAATCACAGAATAGTTCCTTGCACTTGGATAGCCAAACACACAAAATGGGAAGAAGCCTTTCGTACTTTGAAACTAGATATCAGAATAATCAAATCACAAAGAGTATAATAAAGCATAACAACTGAAACAGAAAAGACTGCTCATATGTATGCTTACAGAGCAATTTGTGCAGCTTCAACACTGCTTTCACAAAGCAATATTCAAAATTCAGCAACATACTAGGCTAAATTTAAGGGATAGCTACACAAACAGGAAATAGAAAGTACTTAGGGACATTATCTTCTAAAAGCATTCTCTGTTCAGAACTGGTACAGCAAAACAAAGCAGTGCAAAACAAAACAAACAAACAAAAAAAAGGAATAACACACAAGAGAGAGATTTTAGCTATCAGTTTCTTGGTGCTTATAACAAGACACTCTCTCTGCCTGTAAGTACTTCTTGCATGTCTTCTCATAAGGACAAGAAGTTTTTTGCTCTCACAGATAGTCAGCTGTTTAAGTTCAAGGACCTTTTCTTTCACTTCCTCTACTAGGTCAAACATTTACTTCATCTTTGAAAACAGACCATAATAAGTTCTTCAAGAATCATGCAAAAGCAAAGACATCAAAGCAACTAAAAGTATTAGGAGGAGAGGGGAATTGAATAGAAACTGGAAGGTCTTTTTTAAATGTATCTTCTCCCCCCAATTCAATGACCTGATAGAATACCCGGTCTGCTTGAATCAACACATTTTAGACAAAATAAATTAAACAAATTCTTCAATATCCAAAGGCAAAGGATAGTAATATATATATATATATATATATATATATTATTTTTTTTTATATGACTATTAATTCCCTTTACTTTATTCAGTTACTTATACATGCGTGAAGTAGATGTGTCACTTTGACAATAAACTGCTGGAAGCTCTGAAACACCAGCATTTTACCCTGCAGGAATAAGTGAACATACAAAGCCAAGGAGAATAGAGAAACAGATACTCAGAGTTCAGACTGAAGTTGGTGAGGTTCTCTTTCCAACACCCAGAAAGCAGTATTTGTACTGCCCTATGTTACTGAAAAGCCAGATTTAAAGCTTGGTGGAGTGCTAGCATCACTTTCAGTCACAAGTACGCAATTTAAGTTTGCAGTATTGACACTTACCCACTCGGCAGATGGACTCATTTTTTAAAACAAGAACAACTAGCTAGTAAAGCATCTTCCTATAACAGGAAAAATTTTATCAGAAAGCAGCAAGAGCAGGGCTGCTCTGTAAGGCAGGATAAGCCAGAAACACAGCAATAGTATCGCACCAACCTAAGTGCAATTTTCTGTTACCTGAACACAGCAGAAAGAGCAAGGCACAAATAACACACCCTATCAACAGAATTAGATGTGGGTCAGTTATGAATCACTATTGACACACACAAGGAGTCCAGCAAGAAATAGCAAACAAACAGGAGGTACAACTACTGACTATCCAAGCCCCAATCCAAAGCCCAGCCAAAAATCAAAGCCAAGAGCAGAATAAGAAATACAACCACCATGTAACCCAAACCAGGAGCAAAGGCTCAGGTCTGGGCTTACATAGAGCTCCTGCACCCCTGGGTGGAGGTGGAGCCCCAGCTGAAGCTGGGCAATTGAGCATATCAGTGCACTCAGCTGCACTGTCAGTTCTGACAGCATGTGTCAGAGTATGGCTATACTCTATATACTCTATAGGGAGAGATGAGTAGCTGTGCAGAATAAATGAAAGCATGTGTCAATCTCTCTATTATGAAATAGTGACTCTCAAAGTGCTAGCAATCCTTAGTAATGAAATCAAGTGTTAGGTTTACGTTTAAAAAATCCTCAAATCACATTTTTCGGTTTGATTCCTGGTACATAACCAAAGGCTGATCTCAGTAGCTATCAGCCTTTACTGCTGCAGTGGAAATGAATTAATTGCATTCATTCATTTTCATACAACATGGAAGCCTTGTATGACCAGGGGTATCTGCGCAGAGTGAAGGAAACTTTCTCATTGTTGAGGGAGCATTATAATGATGTTGTCAATTTAATTCGCTAATACAAATGGAAAAATAGATTTTATTCATATGTCACTACTAAATGCAGCATTTTAGCTATGCAAGATGCTAAAAATGTACACTACAGGTCCAAATATTAGCAAAACAAAAATGGCCAGAATATTATTAATAAAAATTGATCCATTTGTGACATGAGTTCAGAAAACATTGTAACATATCTGTAATTGTATTTCTATTAAAGTAGAAGTATTCAATAAAAATGTTTAAGTATGTATTTGGCTTCAAGTGAAAGATTTTCACACAAAGCATCGTCTTGAGGATTTACCACTTTACCTCAGTGGTGAAGTGATACCAGAAATGATTTTAGGTACCTTCTCCAGAGGTGCCCCCTAATTCATGTCATAAATCTTCCCGCTTTAAAAAAGTGCATTTGCTTTTATTCTAATTATTTTTCTAACAAGGAAGAAAAATTGTGATTTCTCTTAATTAATGATTGTAATAATCACTGTCATATTTCTCCTCTCACAACTGCTTATTCCATCCATAAGCTGATCAGTTGAGTAACCTGCATTCCCTGCCCCAATCTGAATTGTGTAGGAAGGTCATTGAAAGAAACAACAAAATTAATTCTAGAAGGCCCTAATACAATGTTGTCCGTGCTTTCAGTTTAAAGACTGACTTTGAAAAAGGTCAATGTGAAAAAGCAGACACTTCAATACAAGCCTTTCATATCTCCCACTTTAAACCTATTTTAATAAAATAGAAAGAGTGTGAAATACCTAAAAGACACCTGTGAAGACTGCAGTGGCAAACAGGAGTTTCAGAACAGGAATATTTTTTTTCTTAATCCAGAAGGACTTTTTTAATACTGGCTTCTAAAGAAGAGAGACAGACAGAGTGCCTCTTCCTCTTAAGTAAGAAAAAAATGTGGTTATCAGATCCAGGATTTAGTATTTAGATTGTAATTTACTGAAAACATTACGAAATAGCTTTTCCTAATTTACAGATTAATATTGTTATTTGTTTGACAGCAATGCAGGATATTATCTGACATGACAATGAGATTCCCAGTGTGGTATTCATGTTCTCTGTCATTTAGGTTCTTTATAGTACCATCTCCAGTTACATCATAATTCATGCTTTCATTTATTAATTACTTTCCTTACAAATTAGGCAATATCAGTATATATATATATATTTTTTTTTTTTCCTAATTGGTAATATTTAGATCTCTTACTATAGTTGGTTTCTAATTTGATTTAGAATGTGAAATTATTACTTAGCTTTACCCAGCTGAAATAGATGGGTTGACTCTTGAGAGGGCCAATGCAATTCTCAAGAGTGAAAATTCCTAGATTTCTGAGATGCTGACATTTGGTTCTCATTCTCTTAACATTTCAGCAAAGACAAAGTTTACAAAGTTCTATTGCTGAAAAGTCTTCCAGTCAGATTAAGATATTTAACACTGCATGTACTATAAATACCAGTGTATAGAAGGTTATATAGTACATTGAATTTTACCGAATGTTGTTAACATTGTGTGCAATCAGAGAGAATTTTAAGCCTGGCCTTTTTCAGGTTCCCTGTTTTTCCCTCAGGTCCAGCAAGGCTGCATTTATTCCTCTGCTTATTCTCACAGTAACTACTGAACTAATTTCTTTAAATTCATTGGCAATGGATGAGATATCAGCAAACTAGAAAAGGTTAAAAATAGTGACTGTCTTTTAAATTGAAATGAAAAGAACCAGAACATATTAGTCTAATCAGTTCAACTTCAGCTCCCAGGAATATTGTGAAACAAACAAACAAAAAAAACCACCCTAACATACAAACCAGAATAGGTAACTGTTCCACGTAACAGGTAACTTAATAACAGGATGTATACATAGCCAGTATAGATCTGACAGGAATAAATCATAGGGGACTAATATGCTACTATAATAGACTAGAGAAGTCTGCAGATGGGAGAGTAGCAGCAAAGGCCATACTTCAGAATTTGCACAGAGTTTAAACCCTGTTTCCTGTAATATTCCCCTACAGTATAGCTAAAACTGACATAAAACTGACATAAAAATGTGTGAATAAACCTCTCCATGTAGGATTGTTATCACTGTTTCACTGCCAAAATAGAAAGGTGTATAAAATAGAGGACTGCAATGTTATCTTCTGGGCCTGTATCTGTTCAGTGTTTTGCTGATGACCTGGGTGAGGAAACCAAGAGTATGCTTCTTAGAGGCATAAAAAATAAAACTGCAGAAGTATAATATTGGCACAAACAGATGTAAATAACAGGGAAAACAGTCTTTAAAAAAAAAACAAAAAAAAAAAACAAAAACAGGATGAAATTCAATAGGGACAAACCCAGGAGACCAGTAATCATCACAAATGCACACTGAGGAACAATTAGAGTTGGTTGTTTGTGTTTTGTTTTGTTTTGTTTTGTTTTGGTGTTTTTTTTTCAGAAAAGTACCTAGGGATTATAGTACATCAGTATAAGCCAACAATGTCATGCTGCAGAGACAGGATAAACATGATGCAGAGATGAGTAAGTAGGCATGAAACACATGATAAGATCATGTAGCTGTGTTCAGCACTGGTGAGGCCTCAGCTGGTACACTCTCTCCGGTTTTGTGCTTTGTATTTCAAAAAGTCTGTAGACTACTGTGGAAAGAGCTTGTTGCAGAGTAACAATAAAAAACACCTCTGAGAATGGGCTGAGACTTACGAGTGACTAGCTAACAGAAGAGAACACCGAAGGCATGATCAATGCTTGATAAACTTCTTGACAAGCACCGAAGGCTGATACAGAGAACAAATAATCCATTCACCATGTCTGCTGTGGACACGACAAGAATTAACAGCTTTAAATAGCAGGAAGAAAAATTCTACTTATTACGGGGAAAATACTTGTTGATGGTAAACGAAGATAGGAATTTCTTAGAGAGGTCACGGAGACCTCTTAACAATTAGAAATTGTTAAGCAGTGGATATACCTATATCTGTCATGAATGAAGTGAGCATAATTAGGAGATGGACTAGATGACCTTTTTGAGATTTCTTTCAATCTCTTTTTTATAGTTGCACTATTAAGTATGATTAGAAAGATGTTTCAGAATCTCTCTACTCTTTTGGTTAGAAAAAGAATTTATGTCAGGAATTTGTAGAAGTAGAAAAGTTTTTATAATGGCTGTGGAGGACCTTTTATTTATTTGCTGGTGTGTCTTAAGTATACAGTATGTTAGTGCAGAGTAGGTTGCATTATATTAATCTGAGAAATTGAAGTTAATGGGCCCAGCTTGGGGAATATGGCAAAATATAATGAAAAGTCAAACCTTATGGGCTGTTACTTCTGCAAAGGAGACCAATGCTATAAATAAAGCATTTCAAAATGCCTCCAGCATTAATTTTCACCAGTAATAAACCTCTCCTAAATTACTGAAACCAAAGTCAGCATTCTTCCTAGCAAAGCACTTCTAGATACCACAGATCACTTAAAGATCGTGTATGCCTCCTTTTCTTTCCCCACCCTCACTTCGTAGCTTTGTAAGCCAGTCTTTTTCATGCACAGCTCCCACCTCAAAAAAAAATACAGATAATGGCACTTTGCTTCACAGTTGTGCCATGAAGTAAGTAAATAAATTCAAGATTGCAAGGTCTGGAATACAGACCGTGCTGTATTGATGATAAATGTTTCATACCACTCTTCCATTTATAGGTAATCTCTGCATCTTGGGCTTGCAGAGTAGAGACAGCCAGCTGTCAGCTTCATCCTTTGGCAGCAACCAAAGGTCTTGTAACTCTCACTTCTCTTCCTTCTCCATAGGAGAGGTCCTATACAGCTCTAAATGTGGGGGTTCCATGCAGTCCCAAAGAGATGTGATTGATTAGAATAGATAAACTGGTTCATGTTTTTAAACTCACAGAAGCTGTTCTGCACAGATGGATACTATCCAAGAGACTTTACATACCGTTTGAGTGTGAGAAAAAAACACTTTTCTGTTCAGTTAGGCTTTTTCTGAGTTTTGCAAATATTACATGTGTGTGAGGTGAGGAAAAGAGAACAGGATGAAAAAAGAGGGAGAGAACGTAGCAAAATAGACCTGGTATGCCAAAATGAGAAAGATCCTGTTATTCTTTTCTTTGATCAAGCCACTGGCCACAGAAAAATGGCCAAAAGAAGTTACATATGCCAAAGTCAACTCCAGCTTATGTTCCTTATAGCCATTTGATCTTTTATCTGCCAACTTCCTCCCATTTTCCCCAATTGTGTCCACATTTAATATTATTTTAGCCATTAAAATGTGGTTTCTACTTAGTTTAAGACTTCTGTGCAACAAACGTTTTATTCTTCCACTGCAATATAGTAGAGAAATAAAATGCCATTTATGCAATACAAATGATACTCTATTGAACATATACCACCAATAAAAACTCCTAATCACTAAAACTGTTTCTTTTTTGGACATTTATATGGATTTAGATAGGCTTAATTTCATTTTTGGTCTAAAACCGCTCCATGAAAGGGTTATTTCTAATTAATAAAAACTGAACTGTGTAC